GAAGAAAAACAGACAGAAAGAAAGAGAGAAAGAGAGAGAGAGAGAGAAAAACCCGATAATGCAGACTCCTGGTAGACCCTTCCACTGAGCAGTGATCAAAGTCAACAGCACCAGGAACGGGTCAGCTGACATCAGGGCCCCCTGAGTTGAAGAACCAAGAAGCCAGCTGAAAAGCCAAAATGGTTTCTACAGCATTTTCACAAAAATACCTAGGATGAACTTAATCATGAGGAAACATCACCCAGTCCCAGATTCAAGAACATCCTGTGAAATAACTGTCCAGGACCCTTCAAAAGTGCCAAGGTCGTGAAGGAGACGGAGATGCGTCTGAGACTGAAGGAGACACACCGGCTAAGTGTGGTGTGGGACCCAGGAAGGGGTGTGAAGGGGACAGTGGTCAGCTGGATGAAGTTGCAGACTGGCTGTGTTCTAAGGTTCATTTCCTGACTCTGAGCCTTGCTGGGTGCCTGCAGGCGATGGGAACCCGCACCGGGGTGAAGGCTATGTTGGAACTCACCTGCTTTTGCGACAATTTTGTTAAGTCTAAAAGTATTTCCAATGAAAAGTTGACAAACAAAAGCAGATAAAGGATTGCCGCATGTGGTGATACTATCTCGGGGAGAGGGTCACGGAGCAGAGCAACAGTGCTGGGAGCCCCCTGGGGGAGGCTGTGGAGAACAGGACAGGCAGGGGAGAAGGTGCGCGGAGAGGCTGGCTCATCGCTAGGGCTGCACAGAAATAATCACGGCCGGAGCTGGTGGACAGCAGCAAAGCCACGAGGTCACTGATTTTTTTTTTTTTGTCCCATACTGGGGTTTTGAACCCAGGGCCTTTGCACTGAGCTACATTCCCTGCATCCCCAGGTCCCTTATACATCTACTCGTTAAATGCTACTTACTTAAATATTAACCTTGTAAAAATCAACCTCAGATGCACTGCCTTTTTAGAAAGTCCAGTTCTCTGCAGAATGGGCTGTGGATGCACCAGTGTGCTAGGATCGCGACAGCTGTTCTCCAACACCCTTTAAAATCAGGCAGAACCACGGGGACGGGCCGCGCCTACTGCTGCACCTGGGCCCTTCTCACGCCTTCCCGCCGCTGGGACCACGGCTGTATCAGAACAAGCCAAGAGGGAGGAGGGAAATGGTGCTTTCCTTCTGCTGTTTTGCCCCCAGAAGGAAGGTAACCGAAGAGCAGATCTCTCTGCATCTGCTCCAGCTATGTTACAGACACGACCCTCCTCTCCACCCTCCTCCCCTTTGGGCCCCAGCGTGCTCTTTTTGCCATCTTGGAGCATGGGGAATGTGGGAGGGAAGCACTGGAGGCCTGCTATGTCATCTGCAGAAGAGGGACAGCCACATCCACCGAGGCACGGTGCAAAGGGGACGGGAGGGGCTCGTGTGATAGAATTCCACTCGCGGGACCTACCCAAGCTGGGCGAGTCCGCCGAGCCAGAACACAGAACACAGACAGCATTGCCAGCCAGAGTGGGAGAGGGGAGGGGGGCGTGGCCTGGCGGAGGAGCGCAGGAGAGAACATGGTCGCCCCTGGGTAGAGGGGCGGCTGCCCAATACCGTGAGTGTGCTAAATGCTACGAATCGCATACTGCACAATGGCTTAAGGTGCAGAATTGAGGGAAGGTGTTTGTTACTGCACTGTTTTTTAAACTGCCTATGAAACAACCACTTGTGGGGTGGCAGGAGCCAAGTCCCTCCACCCTTCCGAACCTCAGTCTCCTCATCTACACAGCGGGGGCCCGGGCAGACGCCACGTCACGGTACATGATGTCTTTGGGAATGGCCAGGCCAAGGAAGGGCTGCATCCCTGTGCTGGGGAACTGCCTCCCCTGGGACTTCTGCAGGGGTCGCGGCCAGGAGGACTGCCAGGCATGTGCTTCGTGGGCATGGGCGTCGTGGGGAGGCTCTGCACACAACCTTCCTCCTCTTGGTAGGGGCTCTGCGAGTGTCGGTTCCTCTTAAGGCCCCGGCCATCTCTGTATGGCTCTTGCCCAAGTGGCCCGTCCCTGGTGTTCTGACTCATGAGAACACATCAGGCTGTTGCAGACCACATTTTCAGCTCTGGGAGCCTGGTCTGAGCAATTGGGCACTCTAGATTTAATTCTGCAGGTAATTTGAACGATGCTATCTAATTTCAAATGTCCCTGCTCTTAGGAGTGCAGAAGCAGCATAATTTTTAATTAGTGGGTAAACAGTAAATAATGAACGGCAGTAAGTGGACACCACTGTTAATTAAAAAAACCATGGTTGATAAAAATCAATTTGGTCCCTGCATTTTAACTGAGTCTATCGGGTCCCTGCAAAAAGTTGTACAACCCAGCCACAGGACCATCTGCCTCCAGTTGTTTATCTTGTTAAGACTTTTCTAAGGGGGGAGCGGTGAGAGAATGGGAGGAAGAACAAGGAAGGAAAATCAAAGCCTGCCCCCAAAGCAGCAGTGGGGCAAATGTCATGGAATTATTTATAATTGGCTGAGTTTATTTTTGCAACCTTGAAGTTGAGGTTCACCAACGGACAAGAGGCGGCACGGGGCTCAGCCGGGGTGTTTCCACCAGCAGTGTCTGAGGCTGTTTGTGTGTGCGGTGAAGACGAGAGCTGAACCCTACCCCAGTCTCCGGACATAATTAAGCCCTAATTTCTCGCAGAAAAACAAGATAAACTAAAACACGGTCAGGGAGAACACAGTATCAGGATTCACGACAGAGGCAAAGGCCGGCCCTTCCAGCGTCTCTCCTCAGTGCCTTCGGAGGGGGCGCGGGAGGAAAAGGGTTTGTTTTCTTCTGAACAGAAAACATTTTCTCACCAAACCCAGTTTGATGGAAACAATGAGAATGTAATTCTCAGGGCCCATTCGCTATTTCACTCTAAAATGTAAGCTTGATTTTTCCTACAAGGCAAATAAGGCTGACCCCTTCCGACCCTTCTCGCTCTGCTTCTGTCCGCTCTCCAAATCAACACTTCAGGACAGATTTCATTGACACTGGTGATGTTCAAATTAACCTGCAGAATTGAATCCAGGGGACCCAGTGTCTTCCGACGAAGTTGGCTGCCGAGGCACCAGAGCTTGCACGGCACCGATGCTGAGCCTGTCTCTCCAACTCTGGGAGAGGACGCTGGGACGGGGCCAGCGATTAGCGCACCCCACCCATGATCGCATCCTGGCTCAGGTCCCTGCGGACATCCGCCTTGCGGCGGGTTTGCGCAGAACGACCCGGCTTGGCTCTTTCAAGGCTAGGGTGACAACACATGCGTGCAGGACACCCCAGCCCTGGCCGGATGTCTGTGTTCACTTCCTTTCTTTGGCTCATTGACACCAGCAGGTTAGTTGGCCCAGAACACCACGGGCCCCAGCGCTGCCTTGGGGTCCTCGCTCATCTGCTCGTGGAAAACTCAGCCAGGTGGTAGCATCCTTCAGTCTAGGTCTCCGAATCAGTCCCCTACTCCCTCCAAATCATCCCCGGGGGTGAAACCCAAGCAGCCCGGTTCTGGCAGCCTAGGCCTGAGTCCTAGCTATGTCACACTGGAGGGCCACAAACCGGGTGGAGCTGAGCCCCACCCTTCTCTGCCTGAGGAGGAAGATGACGCTGACACCAGCTCCAGGGGTGCTACAGACAGAAGAGGCCACGATGCACAAAAATGCATAGAGCAAGCCGGGCGCGGTGGCGCACGCCGTAATCCCAGCATCCGCCAGGCAGAGGCAAGAGGCTCACTGAGTTTGAGGCCAGCCTGGGCTACACATCAAGGCAAAGCTTGCCCTGGTGTCATCCATGTCTCTCCTGCCTTCCCAGCTCCCCAGGCAGGCTGGACGTCGATCCCAACCACCAGCAAACTGAGGCATCGGCTCTACCTCATTGTGCGAGGACACTGAGGTAGAGAGTTTGGGGTTGATCTGTTCACTCGGATCATTCTGAGGAGGCAGTAGGGACCCCCGGCTCCCCACGAACTCCATGTAGGAAGGTGTGAGTGGGCGCCAGGAGAGGGAGGGCCAGAGCACGTGCTTCTCCACCCGCCCGCAACCCCCAGGCCCTGGCTGGGGGAGTCTTTGCCACATCTGTCACCCCCAGCCAGAGCCTGAAGACGCAGCCCCTCTCCAGCCACTGCAGCTGCAGGCCCGGTCAAAGGGCCAGGCCGGAAAGCCTCTGAGTGTCAGGCATCACTGCCATGTTTGGACACCGCACAGGCCTCCCTCAGCATCCTGCCGCCTGGGCTGTCCCACCCATCCTGTCAGCATGGGAGGTTTCTGCGGGAACCGCCGCTCTTCAGCAGCGGAAGATCTTGGTGCTCCCCTCGGAGCAGCGCCTAGATGAGGCGAGCTGTCCCGCTCTCTGGCTTGACTTGTCCCCACGGCCAGGGCCACGCACATCTAAAGGTCACCCAGGAAGACCAGAGCCCCATGCGCGACCCCTGCCGCTCACATCCGCCTCTGACCACTTCCTTCCTGGACGCGCCCACTTCTGCCCAGGCTCGGGGACCAGGACGGTGTGGCCTGCACGGCGGGCCTCCTGCCTGGGCACTGGGTATCTGCGCATTGGCTGTGCCCTCATTCACTCACCACCCGTGCAGAGTGCCAGCTGCGCACCAGGCACTGGCCGGGGTCTCACGGAGGCAGGGTGGGGGACCCACGGGGCCGGCGCAGGGCTGCGGAGGGGGGTGAGCAGCCAGACGGGCACAGGTCGGACAAGCGAGGCCCGTTCCTGAGGAAGCGGCCTGCTCTGGGGCGGAGCTGGGTCCCCAGATCGGAGTGGTCCCTGTCTAGGAGCCGTGGGCACTGCCAGTGGGGCCCAGCTGCAGCAGCCACTCCACACCTCGGAGTCTGGCACCCAGAGCTGAGCAACCCAAGGCTCCCGCCCGGGACCTGGGCCGGCTGCCTTCCAGGGGGGCTGGGCTGGGAGCCCTGCTACCTACCGAGCTGGGGCCGTGGCTCATGGGAACAGTGAGGTGGGGCGTACCCAGGGATCTCTGACTCCATGTGTCTGGTCTGCAGCTAGCACCACGGAGGCCATGGGGAGCAGCCGCTTGCGCTGGGAGCCCCGCTGCCAGCAGCCAGTGTCCGAGGGCACGCCTGTCACTGCCGTCTTGCCCCCGCGCCTCGATGGGCCCTGGATCTCCACTGGGTAAGATCCCCTGGACCCTTGATGATGGGCTCCTAAGTTGGGAACCATTTCCCTCTCTGAGCCTCAGTTACCACATCTGTGAAGTGGGCCCAATCTCCCCGGTTCCTGAGGGGCTTGGGAGCTGTGAAACATGATTTCACTCACTTTCCCTCCCTCTCCAAATGGCACCTGGAGCAGGGACCATAGAACAGCAAGGGCACATGGGGTCTGCAGAGGGACATGCACTAAATATACAACCCCAGAAATAAATACTATAAACTTCAGAACATGCCAAACTCTGAAATGAAGGAAATCAAACTGAAGGTGTAATGGCAAATGACCTAGAGAGGGGGTGGTCAGGGCTGGCTTCTTGGAAGTGGTGACCTCCAGCTGGGAGACTAAAATGAGTCCACCACACCGAGAGCCAGGGAAGACCCGGGTGAAGGACATGGTGGGGGCAATGGGCCTGAGGCGGAAAGTGGCAGCCAGAACAAGGCCGGGTGTCCCTGCCCGATTCACTTTCAACCTGATGGGCTCAGAGGCCAGTGGCCCTCACCTCACCATGCACAAAGCCCACGGCAGCCAGCAGAGAAGCCCCCCCGGCCAGGGCTGGTGGGAAAGGAGGGAAGCTGGGGTCGCCTCCACTTCGCTCCCTTCCGACCTCCTCCTCCTCCGCCAGAGCGTTCTGGGGTCAAGGACTGGACTCTCGGTGTCCTCCGCGCACCTCCTGAGCTCATGGAGAAACCCCACAGCCGAACATCTGCCTGCACTGCGGGGAGAGTGTCCCACAGAGCCACTTTGAATACATTCCTGGCTCTGCAGCTGCAGGCAGCCCCCGCCCCTCCGCAGCCCAGGGGGGACCCGGGCACTTGGTTCCAGGAGGGGGTCCTGCATGCAGGCAGTGGCTCTCACCCCGGAGTCAGAGCATCCTGGAGCAATTCTTTTAAGATGCTTCTTTCAGAACATTCCTTCTAGAAAGTTCCCCACTATTCTCTCCAGACAGGCCTGCTGCCTCCTGGGAGGAGTGCAGAATCGGGTCCAGGGCCTGAGACCCCCAGTGTATCCAATGTGACCTGCTGCAGCCTTGGGCAAATCTCCCTTCTCTCTATGCCTTGCCAGAAGCAATCAGGAGTGTGGGGGAACCCGCTCCTTTTTTGCAGTACTGAGGATTGAACTCAGGGCCTTGGCACCGAGCTACATTCCCAGGCCTTTTTAATTTTTTTATTTTGAGACAGGATCTCACTTAGTTGCTAACGTGCCCAGGCTGAGCTTGAACTGGTGAACCTCCTGTCTGAACCTCCCACAGTGATGGGATTACAACCGTGCATCAGCACACCCAGCTTCCCCTCCCTACTTTTAAACACCACCTGTTCTGATATTTGCTCACTATTTTTCTTTAAACCAACTTGCTTTTATTTACTTAAACATCTTCATTCATTTTTACAGCTTTATTGAGGTATAATTGGCACACAGTAAACTGCACCGACTACACTGTAATATAATTATTTTTAAAGGAAGCATAATATCACCCTGGATACAGAGAACAGAGCCACTTGCCATAAATAAGAAGTAACTGTAAAAAGAAACTCAATGAAACAAAACAGCATAATTAGAGTCTCTCTAGATTCATGGCCTACCTAAGGCTCCAAGTCTGTTCTCTCTGGGAATAAAAAAAAAAAGAAAGAAAGAGACTGGCGTTAAAGATGCATAAACTCTGAACACAGACTTTCCCCTTAGCATTAGCCACAAGATGGAAAGAAAAGAAAAGGGAACTGTTGTTTTGTGATACCGTATTCCCTCTGCTCCAGCAGCCTTGGCATTAGGAAAAAAAAAAAAAAAAAAAACAGGAAAATAGTAGCGTGAGTAGAGGGACCTGGTTAGGGTAAAATTGTGAGTGGGGGTTTATCTACCATCTGTCCCATCTGAGCCCTGATATGAGGTCCCAGGGCATGACTGTGACTTTAGGAGTCCTTTAGCTTCCCTATCTCTTCCCCTGAAATTGTTTGCATTACCAGCAGAATAGAGCCTGGGGGGCAACGCCTGCCCACCACCTGATTTTATAAATAAAGTTTTATTGGCACACAGCCAGGCCCATTCATTGACATGTCATCTGTGGCTGCTTTGGCTCTACAGCTGCAGCCTTCAGTGGTTCCAACAGAAACCATCTGGCCCACAGCATGAAAAGTATTTATGATCCGACCCCTTTGCAGAGAGAGCTTCCCAGAAAGCCCTGCATGGATCCCAGGTCAGACAAGTTAGCATATCAAAGAAGAGGGGGGATGATGCTAGCAACCCTCTCTGGGCTTCGTTCATTCCTTTATCGCTTAGGAAGGACACAGGGAGTGACCAATGTGTGTAGCTCTGTGCCAGGTTCCGGAATCCAGGGGAAAAAGCCAGGGCGCTGCCTCCTGAGCTCACAGTGCAATGCCCACCCCGCCCCCACGGTGGCCAGTGCCCGAGGATGGAATGGAAGGAGCATTACTGTGGACGCCTCGAAGCACTGTATAGAAGCCGGCCAGCCCCAACAGTGCAGATGACTCCCCCGCTTTACCCAAGGCAACAGACTGTGGGCATCCAGGTCTGAGCTCAGAGGAAGCTGGAATGCAGGCTGGGCGATGGGGCTCCGGAGCTGGCGCTCACTGCTCTCCCCACCTCATGTCTCTTCTCCCTGGCAGCTGTGAAGTGCGCCCAGGACCAGAGTTCCTCACCCGCTCCTACACCTTCTACCCCAATCGCCTCTTCCGCGCCTACCAGTTCTACTACGGGGACCCCTCCTGCCAAGAGCCCACCCACTCACTGCTCATCAAGGGCAAAGTCCGCCTGCGCCGGGCCTCCTGGGTCACCCGGGGTGCCACAGAAGCTGACTACCACCTGCACAAAGTGGGCATTGTCTTCCACAGCCGCCATGCCCTGCTTGATGTCACCAAGCGCGTCAACCAGACTTGGGCGGACCAGGACTGTGTGGGGCGGCTGCCCCAGGCCAGAGCCTGGCTGCCTGGGGCAATGTACGAGCTGCCGAGCACCCGGGCCCAGGGGGACTGCATGGCGGCGCTGGGCTTCAGCATGCACGAGCTCAGCCTGGTCCGCGTGCAACGCCACCTGCAGCCACAGCCCCGGGCTGTGCCCCAGCTGGTCGAGGAGCTCTACCTGGGAGACATTCACACCGACAGGGCAGAGAGGCAGCACTACCGGCCCACGGGGTACCAGCTCCCGCTGCAGAGCGCCCTGGTGAGTCTGGGCCCCTGGGAGGGGAGTTCTAGGGCCCAGCCCAGCGGGCCCTGTATGACTTTGTCCTGCTGAGGGTCCTGTCTGTCCTTCTCCCATCACTGCCCTTTACTCTGGCCTGCACATGCCGTTCCCCCTGCTTGAGACGCCTCTCCCCGGGGCTTTACAGGATGCCCCTGCTGTTGTTCTTGTTCCTGGTGCTGCCTCAGCAGGAAACATGGGTTTGTTCCCCTCACCTCCATCCTTTATGGCCCAGATGTGGGCCCCGTGGCCCTGCAGGACCCATTTCTGCCTCTGCTGAGCACAAGTCTTGGGCAGTTTTCCCCTTTTGGTGGTTCTCCAATCAAATGTCCCCTCTGGCACTCGACCCTTTACAAGGGCAGGGCTATGGCACCAGCTGGCACAGGGTCTGGCTCCTGCTCAGGGCCAACAAATATTAATGAATCGACGAGGCAGAGAGCACCTGTTCCAGGCTGTCCTGGGGCTGCGGCACACTCTCTAGTGTGGTCTTCCCGCGATGCACACCTCCTTGCGATCGCGTTGTGTGCAGCAGTATGAGCCTCGCGCTCTCAGCACGGGGCCTCCAAGAGAGTGCAGGGCCGGGCGGGGACGGGGCTCTGCATCTCTAACCTCGCCCAGGCAGGCAATCTATGGTGCCCTCTGGGCCAGGAGGTGCCAGGAATAGCTCTCTCTGCGAGAAGCACCACAGGCTCTAAAAGCGAACCTCGCCGAAGCCTTTGACCCGAGATTGTAAAGGAAGCCATTGCAGACACACTGGCCTAATCTGGAGAAAATCTTGGAGCCCTTTTTGGCCTGGTGAGCAAACGGACAGAAGGAAAGCTGTCTTTACATACATAACGTGCCCCGGCACATAGTAGGACAAGCGTGGGATTCTCAACCTTGTTGGTGTCTAAGCCAGAGAGGGCAACTTCTCATCCCTGGAAAGCCCCACTGGAGATCGGCAAAGCCTAAAGACCCTCCCTCCCTTCCGAAAAATGCTCTTAAAAGCGTAAGATAAAGATACACTGGGTTTAATGAAAACCAATCCCATTAAGATACAGTAATGCAGTTACCGAGGTCTTAAGCACGAACGTGTGACACAGAAACACTGCAAGTAGGAATTCTTTTCTCACCCTCACGTCCAAGCAGGGATGCGTGTCAACAGTGCTCCCTGTGTGTGACACTGACGACACTGTCAGAGTCTGCGGATGCTGCTGGGGTGTGCTGCCTACCTTCTCAGTTAGAAGACGCTGAACTCTAGTTAGTGAAGGGTAATGGCCGTGAAGCTGAGGTGAGGGCTCTGGCTTAGCAACTTCTGTGCAAGGCACCCAGTGAATATTTTTTCAAAGTGCAAATCAATAGAGGGACAGAGGAAAGGATGCGTGCAGCCAGCCCATGAAGTGCCCGCTGAGCCCTCAGACCCCTCCGCACATATTAAGTGCTTGCTGTGCTTGAGACACTCAAGGGTCTATGCCAGACAGGGCCATGCCTCGCCTCCAGGAGCAGCCACTTGTCCTAGCCCCACGGTAGGCCACTGGGGATGAGACAGTCCCCAAATCCAACCGCCTCCCACTTCCTCTCCCGCTCCCTCCCCAAAACCCAGGGTCTGCGTAGCAGAGGGGGATATGCCACGGTTCTTCGAATCAAAAAATCAGCCTCGGGGTTCTTGGAATGACCTGGAAATTATCCCCCTTTCAGCCGCCAATGTTCCGGGCTGCTGTGGCGTTCACCCTACGTACATAGAGAAGGAGGCACTGGTGGCGAGCTGATCGCCAGCCCTCGCCTCCTCCTTAGGAGGGGAAGCTGCTCGGAATGCAGAAGGCTGCCAGGGCTGCCAGTTGCTGTCCCTGCTCTCCCTGCTGTGGCCCGCGAGGTGATTGAGAAGCAAGACACATAGGAACGTGTGCATCGGTGAGCAGTGCCAGATGTCCAGACATTAAATTAAATGTCCGCTCAGCAACCCCCCTCCCGAGGTGGGAGACAATTTCAGAGAAGGAAATACTGCAGATAAATCCCCAAATAACGAATTAGTTGTTACCTTATGCTCTCCGGAACCCAAGCCTTGTCCACGACCCAAACCAGATGGTAAACATGAACATTTTTAGAAGTTAATTTAAAACCAATTTGATCCCCACATTCATTGCCTGGATAGAGAATCCTAATCAATCAGCCAACACACAACCAAACTCGTCTGAGCCTGGTGTCACCTCTGGGGGTTAATTAGAAACTGTTATGTTCTGTTTGAGAAATAACTTTATATAACAGGCTTAAGCCAGTGAGAGTTTGGCTTCCACACAAGAGTGAATTTGGCTGGCTGGGGGCCTCGTTTATTAACATGTGCAACTCTGGACCTCTGCAGAAGGGTGCCTGGGAGGTGTTCGAAGGCAAGGGGAGCCTTGTTTCTCTACCACCTTCAAAAGTTTCCAATATGTAATCCCAGCTCCTTGGGAGGCTGAGGCAGGAGGATTACAAATTCAAGGCCAGCTGAGGCAATTTAGTTTATCTCAAAATTTAAAAGAAAGAAAAAAAAAAGGCTGGGGATATAGCTCAGTGGTAGGGTATCTTTGGGTTTGAAGCACAGTATTCCACCCCCACCCCCAAAAAGAGTTCCCAAGGAGGAAATGCATTTCTCTCCCTTCTCTCCTCCTTAAAAGCTTGCGGCTCAGTCTCTGCTGTGCTAAAAATCTCTTCCCCCAAATTATCTACTAATACCCCCGGTCTCCCTCTGCACAGGTATCTCCGCCTGTGTGCGCCTGAGCAGAGAAAGGTGGCTCTGGAGTTGCTGTGATGTCATGCATCATGTGCTGTCAATACGCGTTAGTGTGACAACGGTCGGGATGTGGGTTAAGGAGCCTAAATTACAGTGCACTCTTATCAGCCCCGTCCCAATTACCGACACCCAGGCTAATAGGCGAGCCTGCCTCTCCATCACCGACACTTCCACGGCCATATATGCACATTTCAAATGCCTTTCAGCTCTCTGCATCAAAGATCCCCCAAACCAAAAGTGACCCCGTCTCCTGTGCTATGCAGATCAAGGAAAGCGTAGGTTCATCATCGAAATGAATAATAAAAGCTTCTAAGATGTGGCGATCCAAAAAAAGAAAGGAGGGGAGAGAAACCATCCCTGTCATCCAGTATTTCCCTCCTAATCTGGCCAGTGCTGCTTGCTTTTGGCATAACAATCTGTGCAGGTCTTTTGAGGGTTTTTTTTTTTCTCTTTTTTTGCATAAAAATATAGAGATCGGAGCTGATTTCACAGCTGGGCTGTCAAAATGCCCCCTTTCCCTTTGGACCCTGAGTTTCCCCAGGAATGGCAAAAGCAGGGGACTTGTGCTCATTCCCAGGTCGGCTTTGACAGGTGGTTCTTCTAGGGCCATTTATTGTTTAGAATGATGCTCTGGACTCAGCTCCCTTTAAAAAGGAAAAAAGAATCAGGAGATTGTCAGTACTGGTTCCTTTTTGGCCTCTGCTGAGGTTTTTCACTCCAAAATGCAGACTGACTACTCCCAGGAAATCTGATTTAACATCTGCTTCCTGTTGACGATGTTTTACTATAAACCCACCTCAGGAGAATCTGGAAAGCCGGTTAAAAAAGGGCCAAAGACGAGAAAAACCAGGTCAGGGCCTGGGGTGACCAAGGGCTGCAACAGTGCCTGCAATCTCAAGTGGAGCTGGTTTTCCCCGTTATAAAGAACGCCAGAAGGGACAACTTTGAGCCACTGTTCTTACAGTTTCAGCTACAATTTAGCCATTTCCTTAAAACCATTTCAGGAAACAGGGTTCCAAAGGCCTGAATATTCTGACCACCTCTAGTCTTCATTGCCACATTCCGTTGCCAAAAGGGTGGAGGAAAGAATGCTCACCTTCCAACCCCAAACTAACGATAAAAGCTCCCATTCTCAGCAGGAGCAGGGCCGCACGCCCGTCATCCCAGCATTCTGGGAGACTGAGGCCGGAGGATCCCAAGTTTGAGCCCAACCTGGACAGCTTAGTGTCTTGGTGAGACCTTGCTTCCAAATAAAAAAGCAAAAGGGCTGGGGATCTAGCTCAGTGTAGAGGTGCTGGGTTCAATCCCCAGTTGGAAAGAAGGGAGAGCAGGAGGGAGGGACTCCAAAAGAGAAAAGAAAAGCCTCCATCCTGTAGGGGAAGCACAAACCGCTGCGAGGACCTGGCACAGAAATGGGGGGAGGGGCCCGGGCAAGTTCACAGCAGGTTGCGCTGGGCTCCGTTGGACCACTTCCAGCTGGGACTCCTGGGCCGGCCCAGGGCCGTCTGGATTTCGGCTTCCTCAGCTAGGCTAGGGCGCGTGAAGGCTCGAGACGAGTTGAGCGGCACAGTTCTTAGGAATGGCCTCAAAGAGTGAGGGGCGTGAAGGATGAGCAAGGAGAAAGATTAACTCTAAAGATCCAGTTTCAGGACCAAGCAGGCTGCGTGGGAGGAAGGCAACATCAGAATCCCGAGGCGCAAGGCCCACCTTCACTTCCATTCGCTTTCCATTGGCTCATAAACAAGCTGGTACTTGCTGTGAGCCGAGCCCGTGCTAGGTGGGGAGCCCAGAGGCAGTGAGGGGCTGGGGGTGGCAGGGAGTGAAGTGCCTGCCCGGGGAGCTACACCCCCGGAGGCTGCTTCTGTGGCTGTTCTGAGTCTTTCATCAGAGACCTGGCAGAGGACAAGGAGCTGCCGGTCCTTGTAGGAGGGACTGCATGTGCAAAGGCCCTGGGGGCAGGAGGGACTGCATGTGCAAAGGCCCCGGGGGCAGGACAGCTCGCTGAGATCCAAGGGTAGCTACAAGGCCGTCCTGGGTAGAGACCAGGAGAGCAGGAGAGAGATGAATGCCAGACGGCAGGGCTCGTCCCTGGGTGCGGAGCCGGGGGTCCCTCCCACGCTGCACCCTGCCGCCTCCCCCGGGGCCGGGACAGTGACCCTCCTCTGTTTCGCCCGCAGCACCACGCGCGGCCCTGCCCCGCCTGCGCCCTC